AGGTCCTGAAACTTCTTGTTCTTCTATCCACGCTTAGAGTTCTAGGACAAGAATGTTCAGAGGGGTGGAGCGTTTGGTTGAAATCCCCCATCATCAGCCATGGCTTACCCTGTAACTTGGCCGTGCTTGCAACATCCACAATCTCCTTCCACAAATCAAGCCTCAACCTATCATCATTTGAGGCATAGACCACTGAAATTACGCACCAATCCTGCGAATTTGGCAGCAAAACATCGCAGGTAATCATCTGAAGAGATTTGTCGATCACTACTACCTTCACACTTTGATGCCACACCACCCATATCTTTCCCAAATCAGAAAACCCATAATTATTCTCAAAAGACCAGCCGGGTAGTAAACCGTTGACGAACTTCTGCACCTTCGGCTGTTTAACATGCGTTTCAATCAAACCACCAAAAATGAGCTTGCAGCCCTTAGACCATTTCTTAAATCCGCTGCGGTGGCTAAGAATATTTAGGCCGCGGATATTCCAACAAAAAATTTGTGTACACATAGTTATGTGTTTTTGAGGCCCTTGCCTCTGTTAAGTTTCTGTTGTCGCTTAGACAACACTTCTTCAAAACCAGAATAGTCATCCTCTAGACTGGCAGTTTCCTCTTGACTATCAGTCTCTTCCGATTCTGTTGACAAAATATCAGACGAGTCTTCTTCAGCTACCGAAGATTTACCCTCTGATGGAGTCTGATCTGAACCATGCGTGTGTAACGCCTTACCTGAGCCAGATCCTATCTCAAGAACAGCTTGATCAACCTCTTTTGCTATTACCTGCAAGCGAGAAGCAGGCTGCACAGACTTAGGTACATAGACCATTTGCTGTTGTACCTCTTTGCCTGGCCTCTTCACAACAGCTTGATCCTTAAAGATGGGCTTGGCCTGGTACCGCTTTCTCGGAGGAGCATTCCCTTTTCTAGGACAGCAGCTCTCAAGGTGAGCAGAAGAGTTACAAGGTTTGCACGTTACTGGTGCCAATTTGCAGCGTTTGCGGCTGTGTCCAACCTCCTTGCAATGCTCACACACTGGGGGCATCCATGGGCTGGAGACTAAAATTCTTCTAATCTCCCCTGAGGTTTAAATTGCATAGAACGGTTCAGTACATAGGAAGGTTGCGTATGGGTGGTGGCATGCATGTTGCTACATACATTTGCTGGTATCCAACCAACCTATATACGTATATCGTCGTGTTTTATACGTATACGATGTGATTTAATTAAGAAGTGGATACTTTCATGCATTTATGTATACGTATACTAATTAGGTAGACGTAAATGTGTTTGATTTTTGGGGCTCTAGCTATTTTGCATAGCTTCTAACATCTAAACAAAATGTAGCTTGTCCTCTTCTGCTAGTTCACCATCATGCCAATTATCAATAGATGTGTATATTTATTACAATTTGGTCCATTTGGATACATTGTCGTCTGTATCTTACACGAATATGTATATATCTAGCTAGCTTCTCGCTATATATAGAGGGTTTATAAATAGTAATACAAAAATTGACTAGCAAATTTTAGCCATATATTATCTGCGGCGGATTTCACTGAAAAAAACTAACAATATTAACAATGTAGCTTTAATTTCATGGGTTTTTCGGTTATAAACTCATAACTCTTGCATTCTTTGTCGATGTTTCTATATATTCGTTGCGTCGTTGTCGTTGGTGCGTGATTTTGAGTTTCTGTCTTTAACCGACATTCAATGATACGTGTGATGACTCCACAAAACACGACATGTTTCTTCATTTGATTAACTGGATCTCATATCATTCAAACAACTTTTGTTTTTTATGGCTGACCAAATATTCATAAAAAGATGACACTAGGTTATACATACCAGATTACTAATATTGTTGATATATAAATTTCGTAAGCTTAAAGCAAGGCATGAAAGTTTAGTTTCTTTTCACTACATAAGAAAAGGTTTGACGGATACGAAAAGCACGTGAATCATTTTTCCATGTCTCCATCGATATTTGATGCATAATCGTCGAAGAAGAAAGATGAATCAGCTTTATATTTCAATTAATAAAATGAAATTCATGAATCTCACTTTCGGAAAGAGAGTCTTTGTAGGGTAATTGGAGCCTTGGGAAATCCATGGGAAAGAAAAAGAAAAAGTTCGACTTAAGAAAGTGATCTGCTTTTTTTCCCCACTATAATTGAGTTGCGTGAATGATATTTAAAAGTACATAGAAACACAGTACTTTATTTCCTTTTTATTGATTCAGAAGAAAAATATAACCTTTTTTTCCTTTCGTTAATTATATAAAGTTGTAGTCAGCTTTCTTTGGCATATGAATTAAGTTATGAGCTTTATTTAATAAAATATAGCATTCTCCAGCATAAACACGACCATAACACAAGAGCTTAAACTTGAACCTTCCCAAAACCAATTTTTATATGAACTTGGACTTTAGGTAAAATTTTAATTAATGCAATTTGACGTACTTCATTTTTTAAAAGAAAAACTAATGAAATTAATCCTGTTTTATTACTCTGATTAGTTAGTAGTTTATCAACTTATTTATCGTTTCTGTTTTGTCTCTTAAGGTAAGTCGATCTTGTTTTATGTTTTCAAATACTAAATACATAAATACCATAAGAACTCTGTCTAATTCATAAAAGGACAATATTGGGGTCGCATAAACATATGTAAACCAGATCGAGAAATCAGAATATTACGTTTTAGATTTATCAATTTAATTAAGGTTTTAGTTGGGAATATTTAGCCTTGCTTTGGGTCCACCCACCTCCATCAATTATCATTATTTTTATCTTTTTGTTTTGACAATCCAACAGTGGTTGTGAATCATGTGGTAGCTTCACACCTATACATTATCCCCACAAAATTGAATTTATAAATTACGTTAATCTCGTAAGAAACAGACAAAACTATGAAATGTCATATAATTAAGGTTCCATTCTTCGATCAGTAAAATAACAAAAAAAAAAAGAATTTAAACTAGCTAAACGCTTTTTTTTTTTTTTGTCTCAACTTAATAGTTAATACATGTATCACTTAACTCGTTAATCAAACACTGTTAAGCATATCAACCTCAAGTTAAACTTTATCCCTCTACAAATTTCTTAAAATGGAGAAACGCCAATCTTGCTTCGCAATTTGGTCTACGTTTTTGAAACTACACTAAATTTCGGGTCTAAGTCATTTTGTTGTAGTTTTATGTACTCTAGATTAAAGTGCATTCTTCTACACTATTATTGCAAATGATTGTGAAACTGTGAAGGTCTTTTGATATAATTGTAAAGAAAAAGATAGAAAGTTCTTTGGAGACTTGTAGTAGTAACATTTATACGTAATTACAAATTATGATCATGATAGACTTTATTGATTATAAATTTTCGTGCCCACACTATACAAATCACTAAAGATCCCATGTGCCCTTGTCTGCATTCACTTAAGTCTTTTTCGTTTTTATTGGATATCTTTTCCATCTAGAAAGATATATTTAGATGTGCTGCAAATTCACTTTTCATGATAGGCACAGTCTTTATGTATATTTGGATAAAAACTGGGACATATCTAAAAGTAATGTTTTTCGATAAATATTATCACTTTAAATTGAAAATTATCCATCAAAGCTAATATTTGTTCACACATTTGATATTAATGTTTTACTTTTTCTAACTAAAAACTATAGAAATTTAGATACAGTTGATAAGTTTGTTTTCGTTGTGATTGTTGCGGTAAATTTTGTTATTTTTATGTCAACAACATACATTATGTGAATTTAAACTAGCTAACTAGATGTTTTTTTTTTGTTATCCGATAAAACTTTATGTATCCACATAGACATATTATTGGATGTTAACTAGTTTCACTTATACAACTGGCGAATTTATTCATAATTTGCAATCGTTATGGTTGAGAATATGGCATCAACTGTACATATAAGCTATGTATATACTTACACAATGTTATAGTGAGTGTAAAAAAATGAGAGAGACAGTTTAGTAATGATTGAGTATGCAGCTCGTGGGCATATTATTAAATTGAATGGTATGATGGATATGCAGACACTGTCTTCTGTGAAACTCAAGAACTGATATAGGACGACGAAAAGAAAAGAAAAAAGAATCACTATAGGACAAAAAAGATGATGGAGATTCTTTTTTTTTTTACCACGAAAAAATCATATTAATTGAACTATATAAAAACGTATACGTAATATTATTTAATTCACTGTGTAAATTAGTAAGATTTAGGCATGTGAATATGTTTTGTGTACGTATTGTATTGCCACAACAAAACAGCATGTCGCAGCATTGATTTCATTATCACCTAACCGTTAAATACCGTCATGGCCCTAGATTTATTGTATTTTTGTACTCTCTTTTGCTCCTTATTTTGTTGATATGTCGACCCCTTTATAAAATTTAAATATTACGACTATATAGTAAAAACTAAACGCAACTACATTGTCAAATACTAATAAAATCTTAACAAAAGAAACACATGTTTTCACTAATAATGTAACATTGACACATCACATTGCTTACACTTACACACACTTTTTTCCTATTTGGTCGTCCGTGAACCAGTGATGATGATTCGATGGCATTATCGTTGTTTCTCTATAAAGCTAAGGTTGTTATTGTCTTTTACAATCTAAACTACCAATTATTACAAATCCAATCTTATCATAAAACCAACGATAATTATTCTCGTTGATTCCATTGGAAAAGCCAAACAATTATATTTAAAAGAAAACAAAAAAAAAACATATTAATTCAAAAAAATATTCGAATTCAAACTCTAGTTACCACTAAAAAAAGATATGCACCGATTCTATAACGTTCGAGACCGTTAACGTAATCGTAGCGAATAAAGGACACGTGTCGATCGTATAGGATATAAGATTCTCCGATCTATAACGGCGCCGTCAAATTTCCCGTTACATATTAAAAAAAAACACTATTCCTACTTCACACGAGGCTTCAATGAAAACGACAAGAGTTAATCGTGGCCGTTAAAAATACGATCGTCACCATTTATAACAGAACAAAACGCGAGCTAGAGAGAGAAAACACAAACACAAACACAAACATAACTAGTGAGTTCTGAGAGAGAGAGAGATCTAGAAGGTGACGTCGTCGGAGATTATGGCGGCGGTTAGGAGAAGAGAAAGAGATGTGGTTGATGAAAATGGAGCTATCACGACGGTGAAGCGGAGGAAGATGGAGGAGGAGGTGGATGGTGTAGAATCGAGGATAGTTTTGTCACCGTGTGTACAGGCGACGAATCGCGGTGGAATAGTGGCGAGAAATTCAGCAGGAGCGTCGGAGATGAGTGTTGTTATAGTTCGTCGGCGAGATTCTCCTCCGGTAGTTGAAGAACAGTGTGAAATCGAAGAAGAAGATTCGTCGGTTTCGTGTTGTTCTAATAATAGATCGGAAGAGAAATCGAAACGGAGAATCGAATTTGTTGATGTACAGGTAACTAATTAAAATCATTATTTATCGAATCGAATTTGATTTTTTTTATTTCTAGATTTTGAAATTTTTTTGAATTTGTTACAGGAAAATAATGGTGATGATCGTGAAACTGAAACGTCGTGGATTTATGATAATTTTAATAAAAGGTTTGTTTAATTTGTTACATATATATATATTTTTTTTTTTGAATAACCGCGGGTCTCCCAAAGGCATCCTAGGCCCAAGGACTAATCCCACGAGGCTGGCAATTCCCCTATGTAAACCTGCCAGTAGCCGTGCCTCGAATCCTGGTGGCGAAAGTCACAGCTGTGACCCCTTTACCACTAGGCCACAAGGCCCGGTTAATTTGTTACATATATTAAATTTTGGAATTATTTTAAAGCGTCAGTTATTAAAATTTCTATAAATGTGTTTGATTCTTTGTTGATAGTGAGGAATCGATGAACATGGATTCTTCGTCGGCGGCTGTAGAAGATGTAGAGTCTCGCCGCCGGTTAAGGAAGCGCCGCCATGAGACGGTGAAAGAAGCTGAGCTAGAAGATTTTTTCCAAACGGCGGAGAAAGATCTTTCGAATAAGATGTTGGAATGTTCTATGAAGTAAGTTTTTTTTTTTTTTTTTTTTTTTTTTGCAAATCGAATTTTGGAAACTGAGAATGAATTTGTTATAGGTATAACTTCGATTTCGAGAAAGATGAGCCACTAGGTGGAGGAAGATACGAGTGGGTTAAATTGAATCCATGAAGAAGACGGTGATTATGATCATTATTCTCTTCTGTAATAATATTTGCTTTGATTTTTCTTTAACAAAATCCAAATGTAGATATCTTTCTCTCGAATAATCAAATTACATGTAATCCAACTTTCGTTTTGTCCTTCCATAAGGTAATTAATTAGATTCATGTTTTTTTTCTTGATTAATTTACTATAAGTTCATAACCTAAAAGTAATTAAAAATCTTGTGGAAAACTAAATAGCTTCCATTATTGCTATGTATCAATAATATAAATATTGTTCTCAGTCTTTCTGGCCAGAAGATTCTTGGACTCTTGTTTGTCTTCGTTAATTTATTTTCGTATTAGTTTTTGTCCATTTTCAAAATAGGATTTTTTTTTTTTTTGTTTGTGTATCAATTATCATATTTGATTTTTTGTACAATGAAAATAGACTGTAGAGCAGAACAAAAAAGAAGACCCAAGGCTGACGTGGTAAAGGAATATTACTGTTTATTCATCAGGCTTTTTCAGTGTTAAAGTTACTATTTTATTCTCACTTGTATTTTAGGTGCTACTCTAGTGATTAACTACGAACTTGTGCTTCACATGATATTAAACTAAAATATGGAGTAGTTTTTTTTTTACATTATACATTTGAAACATTTCTTAAAATCAAACAGCTTAAATAGACGCTTCCAGTTTTTCCCTCGCATTTTTAATACAAAATAGACTTTTTAGTAGTATTTTATTTTCTATCTATCTAACTTGGTTTTAGATATGGTTGGTGTACCTAACGCTTAAAGTTTACTTGATTAGCAAATAAAAAAATTGGAATGAATTAGTAGAGTCATTGTTCCCAAATTTAATTCTCTGTAAGAAAAATGATTTACGGTCTTAAAAGCTAGTTCTGGACCAAAAAATGGACCTAAAGCTCAGAATTCTTTTGTTACAGAAAAAAAGAGATATGATTGGTGTTTATTTCCGGGTCTCTTTCTACGAGTAAAGTAATGGTCAATCACAAATCTTTTCATACCAAACTCTGCCATTATTACATAACACTCTTATTTTCCTAAACCAAGAATGGCTTTATTATTAACTTTTTCCTCCTTTAATTTTGGTCTCTCCTTTTCTATTACTTCTTTTTTTGTCATTATTATCACTCTTACTTTAAAAATACTAGAACTCAAGATTCAACGAGAAAATTCAGAGGTTATGATTAAAATGTTTAAATTGTCGTACTGTACTGATCGGTTAAAGAAACTGACACAACACAAAGATGCGAGAATGTACACTAAAACCCACGAGGCAAAGATTTTACTCTTTTTTTGTTTCTTCTTTTTTTTGTTTTTGTCAAGAAGAGGTAAAGAGAGTTGGAATCATTTTCTCCACTTGTTCGTTTTTATAAGTTGGACTCTACGGCCCAATATAGATATTCTTTTGGTTTCAAGTTTCAACACCTTTCTTTGATACATTTTGGATCTCTACTACACATTTGCTTCGAACCATGCATTATTGCATTACATTCTTTTAACCGAGCTTTTATGAATCATAATTCTATATATTTCATTACGTATTTAAAATGCATCATATATCTCCGATGCATTAACACGAAAAATACTCATAACGAGAGAAGTATTTATATCAGTACCATGTTTTTTTATTCATTGGTCATCTGATAATAGGGTGAGTTTAAATGGGGTGAGTCTAAATAGGGTAGATTTACCCAGTTAATATCCCTAATCAAGCGTTCTATAATTTCGTTTCCAATAAATTAGAGGATTAAATACTTCAAATCACGTCCTCAGGTACATACATTTCTGATTAAAATCCGATATTCTAGATTAGCAGTCATATACCAACACAGTGCTTGCTAAATACATTAAAACATCCAAGTGGGAGAGAAGTTTAATTGGTTGATAAGATAAGAAGTCGTGTGACAAAACACATGTAGACAACTTATAACTAAAAGTGCTAAAAAGTACATACAAATCTTCAGTGGCATTAAAATAGAGATGTTCCACAAAATTATTGATTCCACAAACAAAACAAAAACTTACAAGAACAAGAAAACATGTGAGCCGAAAAGAGTTGTTGGAACCATCTTTGTCCAAAGAGCATTTAGATACAGTCAATCTAGATTATCATAAATAATCTAAATTAATTTATAGAAACCAAAGTGGGAGCTCTACAATTTGTTCATCTTGTATTTGCAACTTGACACTCCCTTGTCGCAACATTTCCTGAATCAACCCAAAATATTTTCATTAGCTCAAATTAACCCATGAAATATTACTCAGATTTCTTGACCCCTCTAGTAAAAATATTTGAGACTTTTGACACAAAAATGTCAAAACAGAGGATTTGTTTGTATACCTGAGATTATTTTGTGATCTTGACTTAACACTTCCTCATTGACTTTATCAGTCTTCTTAGATCTACAATGGGTCCTCTTAAGGCCCAATAGCTCTCTCCACGAGCCCTTTGTGGAAAAGGATGAAGAAGACAACAATATTGGCCTGAGGGAGAAGTTCTTGCCATCGACCACAGAACCCTCTTCTTCAATAAGAAGCTCTTCTCCTAAGGTCCTATGGACGTGACTGGTCTCTTTCAAAGGTAAAATCTTTCCTTTGAGAAAGATTTCATCGGCGGGAATCATCGCGTAATCGGTGACCGAGAAAGCGAAATCAGCAGAGGGCATGGAGAAAGAGCTTCTTGAGTTCATGTTGTTGCTCTTAGCATTACTCTTCTCCGATCTGATCTCGACAAACTCGTTAGAGAATGAGATTCTTGCAGCACCATTCATGGAGTTGTGCATTTCTAAGCGTGCCATTTATGTTTTTCTACGAATACTCAATTTTGCATATAGAATGAGAGATCTAAGCATTAGGGTTATATATAGGATAAGAATTTGGAATGAGATGATTAATGTCCAACTCATAGATCCATCAAGCTTGATCTATATGACTATATTCTATATACGAATATTTGACCGAAAGATTCTATTAAAAAATTGTTATATATAGATTATCGTTCATTGGCAAGATGTTGTTGATCTTCGTATCTTCAAGGAGTTAAAGATCACATGGAGGCACGTGAGAAATTATCCATTTGTCCTCTGTTATTTCTTTGTTCTATTACTTACTACTATCAAATATACTAACTCAGTGATATCTCGACAATGATGGGCACAAAATGTTTCTAATTAATATCTATCTATATATAAGGTAACGTGCAGTCAAAGGACCAAGGTTGTCAATCATGTGCTTGGAAGTGCCGTTGAACATTGTTTATCCTATGTCGTCGTGATGCGAAGACGCCACTTTGGTTCGCTCATAATTGGTCAAAAAGTAGTTTCATCTCATTATAGGAAAATATCAAAACATCATTGCTTGAACCTTTTTTTAGAGCAACCAGTAAACTGATATTCATGGCTTGGAATTTCATCTTTAAAGTTGAATTTCAAATCATAGTCTGCTTTCCAAAGGGACAGAGATTAGGCCTGTTCATTTTGGGCCAAGTATAAACAGAGTGGGCTTTTTGTCGGATGGCATCTTCGTTAGAGACTAGTGGCGAGAAATGGGGACCAAAAAGACCACTGAAGAAGATCGAGAGTTGACGTCATCATGGCACGTTTGAAGTTCGAACAAAGAGGACAAGACTGACACTGAAAGATTGAATTCGTCAGTGCGCCTTCGTACGCATTTAATATCTTCTTCTTTTTTTTATCCAGTAAATGGTACAGAAATATTGGTATATAATTCTTATGAAGTAAACAAAACTATAAGCAAGAAAAAGTGGGGACAAAATGATGAAAAGGGAAAATAAATGGTGTGTTAGTGAAAGATCTTAGAGCATTTCAATTTCAGTCTCTTTTATGGGACAATAATTATACACCACAGTCTAAATTCAAAATCAAACTTCATCACTTCCTTTCCTCAATTTCGGGGGATAATTCTAGGTAACTTTTTGTTCACAAATTGTTTTCGAAAAACCATATTCTAGCAACAAAAAATATGTTTATGAGATATAAATATATTTTTAGCTTCTTTCGTTTACACCAAAGAAATCCAGTCAAATGTTACATCCAATATATATTACAAATGAACAAAAAGGACAAACCATCATCACTCCAAGAACTAGATAAAAAAGAGTTCACTCCAAGAACTAGATACAAACCATCATCACGCCAAATCTAAAAACACTTTTAAAGAACTTCACTACTTAGAAAATCCCAATCTATCCCCAAATAATTCAATTCTAAAAGCTAACTTTTAAAGACTAGATTAATTTATCAACCATAGGAAGAAAAAGGTAACCGGCGGGTCGGGTTGATTGGATCCTGTCGTCGTCAACGCCAAGAGGAAACGGTGAGGAGAGGCACATTGTTCCAAGCCAAGGAGATGAAACCTGGCTCCGATTCAACAAGTGAATACAATGTACTATAATTGTAGTTCCATAGTAACAGTTTCGCTTGGCTAACCGCGTAATTACTCGGTTTAACCGGCTCAAAACCGGCTTTCTCCATTAACACTCTCCATTGTTCTTTCTCCTCCATTAGCCCAAACCGGATTCCCGGTTTATTACTATCATCATCTGATCGAACCAAATCCAAAATCCTCCTACCGAACAACACTCTCTCCACTCTCAGCCTTTCTTTCGAATCTCGCTCCAAATTCGGTTCAAGCGATTCAAAAACCGCGGAATAAAACCGGAGAGAGTTCTTAACCCGGTTTGCAAATCCAACCCGGTTTAAACTCACTTCGTATTCACCAAGCGTCACAATCCTCGGGTTTAACGATCTAGCTAACCGGAGCGCCGTACCAACCGTCGTCGCCGTTTCATCAAGAAGCTTATAAAGCTCAAGCATAAAATTCACAACCAAAACCTCATCCGGGTCGACCCGAAAACTCGACCCGTTTAGTAACTGAATCGGCGTCAGAATCGGATAAAACTCGAAATTGAGATCCAAAATCGCCGCGAAATCACGGAGACGGTTACCTGTAGCGATGAGAGACGGTCCCGGTGAGTCTCCTAAAGACGGAGCGGGAATACCCGAAATCCGGATCCGGGTCGGTTTTCCTGAAGACCGGGTCGCTAAAGCTTGTAACAGAGCAGACCATTGAATACCTTGAAAAATCCCGAAATCGACTATGTGAATGTTGTTTGATTGATTCGTAGCTTCGAGAATTGCTTGATTCGCTGTTAAATGAGCGAACTTTGAGTATGGACATGCGTCGTTTAAGGTTTTGTATGAGAGTATGAAGTCTTCTAGCGACGACGACGATGACGACGACGGAGACTCTGTTTCTTTATGAGACAGAGCTTCTAAAAAGTAATACCCGACTCGCTCTATCGGGTCACCGAATTCGGATACGGATTCTTTGATCCGAATTAGTGTTTCCGGTTTAGTTTCCGGTTTACGTGCATATTCGTAGATAGCTTTTAAAATCGGTTGGTTTAGGTCAAAATCCGGCTGCGGAGGTGGAGGATGACGTTGTGGTGATGGCGGAGATGGAGTCCATATAGTGGTGGAAGTCGGTGGCTGAGAGAGTTGATGAGTCGCTGAGTCATCCTTGTTGACTAGGTTGAGATTTGAAGGAGCACTGAGTCGACTCGGGAACGAGACGAATGGATCATGGCCGTAGATTGGGAAGTCTGGATTGGTTTGCAAAGAATCTCCACCGTTGATCAAACTCTCCATCCACTCGTCGGAGTCAAACTCTTCGGAAGCGACGGCGTTTTGGTGTTCAAGGTGTGGGAAGTGAAAACCCGGGTCGTTGGTTACTTGAAACGGGTCGGAGAAACCCGAACCAGGAAGAGTATAACCGAAGAATTGATTGGGCCAAGAATTGTGTTCGTGTTCTTGTTCTTGTTCCTGTTGTTGATGTTGTGATTGTTGTTGTTGTTGTTGCTTCTGTTTGATGAGTTGTTGTGCTATAGCCATTAAGTTTCCACTGTCGGTGCACATATACGCCATTCTCCGGCTAGTTCTCGCCGGCGACGAAGGCGTATCTGTGTGTGTTATTTGGTGGTGATTGAGTAAGGCCCAGATAGAGAAAATCAATAACGGGAGAGAGGTTTAGTAATTAGTAGGGAGAAGAAAGTGGACAAATCTTTGATCAAACTCTTTTTTTTTGGTGAATAATCTTTGATCAAACTCTGGCCGTTCGATTTTGGTTTTATTTCATTTTAATTATTATTTTTGTGTATTTTTAATCTATTACCATTTTTAGTTCACAACTACAAAATTATCGTTATTAATTGCAAGAAATGAAGAAACTAAACATATAATTTACTAAGAATCTCAAAATATGAACTGAATAATTTGGTATCCCATGATTTGTTCTTTTCTTTCGGGTTATAGATTTTGTAATTCTATATTTTCATATAATCTTACAATTTTTTATAAACCTTAATACAGTTTTAACTCATTTTCTTATAATTTTATACAGTGTTTTTTTTTTTTGCATTACCATTAATGAGTTGACGTTTAAAAAAAAAAAAAAAAGAGATTAAAACGATTTCTCACTTATGGGACCCACAGGCACGATGACGTCATCTATCGGCAGTTACGTATCGAAGAGTGTGACATCATCTCCACCGTCCGTAGAATCAGATCAATGGCATTGCTGAATTGGTGAATGTGACACGTCGACAACTGTCTTCTGCTACTTGGCACCTGCATGTCGCCTGCAACTTTTCTGTCTTTTATTTTATTTTAACTAACAGTATTATAAAGGTAAAAAGACTGATGTAATAAAAGTAAAAAAGAATGGTAGGTTAATTTTTATATAATTGTTTCTGCTTTCAAGCCGCAAAGGTCTATAGGTTTTACAAAGCTGTTTCTTATCAACTAAAGGGTCGTTGAATTGGACTTTGGTTAACAAATTACAGTGACTTGGTTTAGTTTCAGTTACTTTTGTAAAAAAACCTTTCGACAAGTAAGCAAACATTAAACAATAGAGTGATCATATACATATTTTATTTGTATACGCATGTCTTTTTATCTCAACGTTATTGTTGTTTTGGAGGACGGCTTGTGGGCCCGTAAGTAGGCCCATATACAATGGAGCAAAAGCGATTGTGGCGGGGTCTACTCGTATTTGTTGTTGGTGGACCGATCTTTGACGAAGAAAATGCAGTAGCCAAAAGCTAAAAATTACCCAAAATACAAAAAAGAAAAAACTCAACGCAATGAAGAAACAAGAAAAGAGTTAAAAGATGATTATAGATTTTTAAAGTATTTAAATAGCAAACCAAGTTTTAACGTTCATGAACGATATATGGTTCGAGAATTTGCTTATTTGAGGTTTTAAGTCCGAAACCATCTAGTGTGAAAGCTCTTTGTGACTTTGCAATTTTAAAAAACTAAAGCAAATGGAATAGAAAAGAACAATAGTGAACAAAAATTAAAGCACATGGGAACGACGACACTTGACTCTTTGAGACATCACTCTTTTCATTTCATCGTTGTATCCGCGTCAAAAGGCCTACTTCTCCACTACTTATAACTTAAATAACTAAATTACATTACTAAACATGGTATATGGTCCCTTGTCCAAGTCTGCTTTTGTTTTTCACTTTTGACATTTTTTACTACAAAGTGCCATGGACTGTTCTAAATTGGTAATGATTTCAAGAAGGAGAATGAAGAAGATGATATTTTGAAAAGGACGACTTGTCTTTGAAAATGGCAATCCTACTTTAGTGTTTAACCATTGCACACCTATCTCTGCAAGTGGACTTAGAGAGAGAGAATGAGTGGTGTGGGAAAGGGACATGAGTAAAAATGAAAGGGTTTGATTTGTCTTTTCTCTCTATCCAAGTCATCGGTGGGGTTTCTTATGTATGACCAAAGAGTGGCATTGAGTCATCCCCAAGAAAGTCTCTCTATATATATACCCATTTTTGTCACGTCCTTTGCTTTTTTACACAAATTTTCAATTTCAGCTTTTACCAAATAAAAGTTACCCATTTTTGTCTCTTCCTTTGCTTTTTCACTAATTTTCGTTTGAACCTTTAATTAACCAAATATATTTTATTTATCCTATTATGTAGATAAAATATACTAAACAGTCTAGTATTTTAAAAATCTACGAATGAATAACACAGATTTTAAAATCATGGATCCAATAACACATGATTTCTTCTTTTGAATAAAAAATATTGATAATCAACATTAATATTTTCTTTAATCACATACTTACACAAGTATATAATAAACCTAAGAATAGAAAAATATTTAGATCAAAAACTTGTAACAATTTGTGAAATCTGATAAATGTTCTTTTACCAAAAAAAATCTGATAAATGTTTTAGCCAGTGTTATTTTTTTTAATTTTCTTCAAATTATTTCTTTTTATCACTCATTGACTCGTACAAACAGAAGAAATATACAACTTTTTTTTGGGGTTTTTTTTTTTGAAGTGACAAAGTCCCTATCCGAACATTAAACTTTCGTACCCTTTTATTGACCAGCTAACTCACTTTGTCGTCCAAATTTTTAGTTTGTTAAAACAATTAATCTCAATGCTTTTCCTCGTTTTCTGATTATTATTCTGCTAACCAGAAAAAAAAAATTGCTTGCGGGCCAATGCACTAATCAATAAATAAGGGCTTTGGTTGGGAAAGTCTCGATTTCATCATCGAGAGTGTTCGTGTGAACAAGCCTATACTTCAATATATCAAACCTTTTCGTCTACCCAATATCTGCAAAATTAGAGACAATCATGGGATAATACATGGGCCGCATTAACAAAAAAAAATCATGGGCCTATCTCATATATTTTTGTATTTTATTAGATTAATTGTAAAGGGATAATACAATGTGTTAATCAACCATCTGTTTACTGTATTTTTAGTTTTTTATCATCACATGATTCACATCCTTTTTTTTTCTCTGTCTTTTGGCATTTTTTAATTAATTACAATAATCAATTATGTAATTTTTGGTAACGTACAATTATATAATTTGACGTGGCATCAGCTTGCTTAGCACGTATATAAACCCTAACTCAACCACAGATTTTTTTATCAGTCTCTAATTTTCTCGATCAATCCGTCAAAACCATGGATTACGACAGAGTATATTCAGTTACACTGGTAAGATCATTACCTTACCTATCCCGTTTCTCGAAACAGTTTGTTGAAGTTTCAAGTTTCAATTGTTGTCGATCAATCCGTCAAAACCATGGATGCTTTTACGTTTGCTTTTTTTCTGGGATTACTTTGAAAATGATCTGTAATTAGATCTAATTTATTCGGCTCATAATTTCATCAGATCGATCTGTAATAACTAAACTAGCGGATCTAATCAAGTTCATATATCTGATCATTTTTTCATGTAACATAATCTACGATCTCAAGAGTTTTGTTTGGTTTTGTAAAACATGGCAGTGGCTAAGACAGCAGTCTTCTGGGACACTGAGGATTGTCCGGTTCCTGATGGTCTAGATGCTGTTGATGCTACAAAATTGATGATTTTTTTTTTAATCTAAAAATCGAAAATATATAAATACTTCTGTTCTTCGTTTGTTCGGCTTGGGAGAATTGATACCTATTGAAACCGAAATTGAAGTTTTGTTTGGTTTGGATACTGATACTGAAGATGATCTCCGGAGTTGACATTATCAGGAGTTGGAATCTCCGGCTGATAAACAATTACGCTTTGTTTTTTCTCCAATGTAAACAATGGCCTTGAATGGGTATATTGAATGCTTTAATCAAGCACTATTAGCTAAAGCAATCTTGGCGTTTGATTCATGTTCCCCACAGCCTTTTTGCTAGAGTGTTAAGAGTTAGAAACTTAATCATTCTAGGGAGCAAGTGAGGAACAAATGAAATACGGGTCCGTTCCACGTTTATAAAAAAAGAAAAATATGTTTGATGCAGACGAGGTTGTTCAAAAAGTTTATGAAGTACTCCAATCACTGTTAATGTCTAATAAAATAGAGGAGATAGTTTGATTATGCCTAGTACTTATTGTTGAGTTAAGCTTGAGTTAAGCTTGTGGTTAAATCTTAACTAGAGTTATTAGGAGATAAAGTTTAAAGGTTTTAGGAGTTATCTAAAACATTGTTAGGAGTTATCTTTACAAGTCCTATTTGAGTTAGGAATAGGTCAAGTGTTTTTCTATATATAGAGGTACCAAGTTGTGGTTAACCCTATGAGATTGAGAGCTTTAGTTTGAGTAATTTCTAAGGCATAAATAAGAGAGAGTTTTATGTGTTTAAGGTTTTGAGAAAGAGAGATTGAGAGTTTGAGTTCTTGAGTTAATAAAGAGAGTTTTCTTTAAAGAGTTGTTCTTATATTGTGTTTGATTCAATACTTATCAACAACCACAATTGAAGAAACCGATTGTGGATCAGTTAAAGCTTGTTCTTGGACAGATCGGGAAATCTCTAAGCTTTATTGTCCTCAAGATTTACTTAAATGTTTTGAGAAAAAAAGAAGCCTCTTCACAATTTGCTTGAATGATATACAACCTTTAAGCGTTTTGAAACGTGATTCCACTGAATATATAACATTCAAAACTATGGATTACTCGCGATATAATTAATCCGTTGAATATATAACATTAACGAAAAGTGCTTATGCTATCACGATCTCTCTCTAAGTCCCTATAGATAATTAATTAAAAATATCTCTAACAACAATATAATAAATGATAAAAAACATATTAAAATCCAACATAATATAACTGGGATTTATAAAAAGCCAATTTAAGGTTTAATTAGTAATCGACATTAATATAAGATATGATATACTGTAAATCTTTAATATAATCATTTATATAATTAGTAGTCTAAGTTTTAATTTATAAAATGGGTGCAGGCCCATTGTAACATTACTAAACACATATTTCCTAGATTAATCTTTTTTCTAACGTCATTTTAATTTCAGTTATGTGAGCAACATTATCAATGGACTCTTAATTAGTTTTGGCTCTTAGTAATATTTTAGTATTAAATTTGTAAAAGTTATAGTTAAGAGATTGTATTTTTGTTTTAAGATTTATGTGTCTTTAATGGTAGGCTCTTAACATGTGGTTCTTATAAAAAAAAATATTAATATAAAAATAAAATTTAATAATTGTTGCAAATTAAAATTTTTAAAACATTATACATGAAATACAATGTATATGATCAAGTTGCTAGCTAGGATCCGATTATTGTTGTAGAATGTGTTTATGTAATAACATGCATTAAATCGAAACTTGGAATTCTGATTATGATTGATGAATGCTCAAATGCTTGAAAAATTCTGATTCCGATTATGGTTTTGTCATTAAATTCCACCAATTAAGTCCGACACGGGTGTTTCAAAAAAAAAAAAAAAAAAAAAAGTCCGACACGTCATCGCTTCTTACCACATAAAAAAGCTCTTAGCTAAGAGACACTTCTTAGCTTTTTTCTTTATTTTGCTTTAATTTTAATTGGTTTAGTGTTAAAATTTTTGCTAAGATTCTTTTAAGACACCCTTGTTAAAAGTGCTCTTAGTGAGCAAGGAACTTGGTGAGCACGGCTTTAAATTGCTAACCGTTGATTTGTTTGCGATCCAACGGATGAAAAGATGCGACAGATGTAAAGCCTTTCACTTCTCTCACACGCGGCTATTAAAGAACCACCTTCGCAATGCTTCAACCCTAAGTCTCTCTCATCAGCAGCAGCACATCAACACTCTCTAAAAAAAATAAAAAGAAGCTTCGAACAATCCGCCAAAACCATGAATTCCGACGGCGTAGATTTCACTGGTCTGATCACTATCTATCTCTTCCTCGAAATTGTTTGTTGAAGTTGTGTGTTTCTTGTTCAACTGTACATAGATCTTGATGCTTTTTCTGGGATTTAATCTGATTTAGTCGGTTCTGAATTTCGTCAGATCGATTAGTCTTATTAGTAACCTAATCAAATTGCATTCACTTACGATCTGATGAAGTTTGTTTTGTTTTTTTTTCGTTTTGCAATAATTGTTTATGCGCTTTTTGGTTTTGTAAAACATGGCAGTGGCGAAGACAGCAGTCTTCTGGGACATTGAGGATTGTCCGGTCCCTGATGGTCTAAATGCTGTTGATGCTACGAACAACATTAAAAACGCCCTGAAGAATGCGGGTTTTAATGGCGAGGTCTCAATCTTTGCTTTTGGTGGTACAAAGAAGTACCTTGTTGGTCTAAACTCAAACAATGAAACAGAGTTTCATCATTTCCCCCAAGGTTAAATATTTTCTAATTCAAAATTTATTCTTTTTCTTTATCCACCGTACGTTTATATATATGGAATGCTTGCAGGAGATGTAAATGCGAGACGTGCAGCTACTTCGGGTGAAATATTTTCCTGGCTAATGGACAATAATCGTCAACGGACAAATTTGATGATGATCATTGGAGATACTACAGACAACATTGGGTTGATGATCTTTCTTCATGATCTGGTTGGGGCTGGTTACAATCTTCTCACATCACAGCCTCCTTCATACAGATCAGTACCGCTACACCATTCTGTTAGTACCGAATGGCTTTGGCCTGACCTAGGACTTGGAAAAGACCCTGTCTTCAAAAGAGGAGACCCTGTGCTTGGTAAATGGGAACACTTCAATGGTCCAGCTGTTAATCCTAAAGACCATGTGGATACTGATCCTGAAGACGATGATCCTGATCTGGGAACGGATCTTTCTCTCCTTTTTCAGTGATCTAGCATATATAGTAAGGAACTAAGGATACTGATACAGAAGAGAATATATGATACTACTAAGTACTTGTAAGTTGTAATTGACATTATCAGTGTAATTGACATTATCTAGTTAAAATAATTTTACTTTGTGGATGTTTATTAGTGTATTACTCTGTTGATGGTAATATGTGTATGTTTTATTTCTCCAAGTAAACAATGTGTTTCTAGAGTTATTATTAATTCGTGGATACTTGTTTTTGTCTACACCTACACTAATTTTCATATGAACGATTTGGTTAACCAAAATATATTTATTTATCCAATGATGTAGATAAATTATACTACTGTACTGAACAGTCTAATCAATCCGAGTATTTCCTTTGAGATAAATTTTTATTTTTCCCGTTTTCAATTGAAAATGCTGATTATCAACATTTAATCATTTATACCTACGGGGTATATTATAAAATTAAAAATAGAAAAATATTTTGATCAAAAACTTGTAAGAATTTGTCAGATTGAGTGAGTGATTTTAATAATTTTTAACTTTTGTAAAATTGTATCGGAACCTCTTTTTTCTATCAATATATATTATTAATGCTTTGATAAATAAAATATATATTTGAGTGAATAACAATTTGAGAAATCAAGTTTTAGTTAAATCAATTCTTTAATTACATACACACAAGTTTGATTCTTTTTTTTTGTAATGAATTAATTATATATGAATTATTAGTTGTATATCTCCATATCATAAGAAAACAAAAACAGTGGGTAACTCTATTATACCTCCAACCAAAAAAGTTTATTGTTTGCAAATCACACATACTCTTTCAGTAGTCAAATGGGGAGGAGACTATCAATTTTTTCTCAAGTAAAATATTAATTAAAATACTACGTTACATAAAGTAAACTATATAACTTGTGCGTGTTACTCATATTTAGTTTAAAACTTGAAATTAAAGTTGAAATCAAAGCTGGTTCTCTTTATTCTAACTGACTCGTTAAGTCATTATTAACAAAAAAAAAATGACAATTACACGTTTATGCATTACCCATTTTGGATTTGGGACATTGATGAACGCAACCCCATCATCTCCAGCGGAACAATCAATTATTTTTATTTTTGCTGATTCACTATTTTCAACTCACAAACCCTTAATATTACTATATATATTCATTACTTAAATTTAAGAGAAAAAGAAAATAGCCAAATTTTGGATTTCTCATCGGCACCAAATTTTAATTGTTAATAATATATATATATATATATATATATATATATATATATATATATATATATATATATATATATATATTATATTTTCCATTTCATTTCCTAAAAGAGACATCATTTAGAGTTAATTGTTAATAATATTAGTTGCAATTAGTTTGGTATATGCTTGATGTTGAGGTGACGTAAGTAAATGAACTTAAATCTCAAAACCTTTTTACTATCGATTGGGTTCTCCATAGACCATAGTCAATACTTTATTTGTTATTATCAAAAAGGGTAAAAAGAAGAGTCATTTACGTAACACATGCACGTTGCTTGGTGCGCGTTAAGATTTGTTACTTATAGATAAAAAGGTTTTTTTTTTGTATTAACTTGTTCATGCACACATATATCAGTGATTTCCACGCGAGTTTTATTTACCTTTTCTATTAACTTGTTGATCAAGTTAAGCTAAGTGACAAAGGTTCTTACTGAGAAAGTAGTTTTTCATTCATATAAAAGGACAATACTCTTAGGTTCTTAGTGCACACAATTAAAAAACAAATAAATCCAAATCAGAAAGTGTATTTGTCTCTAAATTTGTTGGAAACCATGTTTCGACCCTCCAAGAAAGACCAAGGTAATTAAGGATATTGAGTTTACATTTCTCTATAGTTTTACTAATTATATAAAATCTTAGAATTCATCCATCTCGTTTTCCGTATCGCAGAGGCGAAGACGACATTGTTATGGGACATTGAAGATCGCCCGAGACCAGATCATATCCAATTTGGTGATATTCCTACACACTTTATGACGCTCTTGAAGGAATCTGTTAGTTTTCATGGTCCACTCTCTATTAGTGCTTATGGTGATGCGCAAAGGCTCATAGGTAACCCAAGACCAAACGGAATAGAGTTCAATCAAGTACCCTCAGGTGAATTTCTATTTCACACTCTCTTGATACTTTGCGTCATGAGTCTTAACTCCGTTTATATATGGTTTCAGGAGATAGAGATGGGAGACTTCATAAGATTTTGGTGGATTCTCTATTATGGGTGATTGATAATCTTGATCAACCATCAAATTTGGTGCTTGTGGTGGGAAATATCGCGGAAGACTCGGATTTTGTCAAGTCTCTCACGACTTTGAAAAAGAAAAATTGCCTAGTTGTTTCACAGACTGCTAACACAAAACTAATTCAACGTGATGCCTGGAAAACCGTACTTGGGAGAGAATCGCGTATGGCTAATAACTTTATTGTTAAGAGTGGACGACCCAAGGGTATATTTTACATCTCTATACTTTCTTTTCCTTTCTGAATATATCTCTGATTCCAATTTTTTTTTTTGTTTTTGTAAAACCTCGCAGCTAGTAGCCCATCTCTTGCTTCAACGAGTAGCTCATCTCTTGCTTCTGACTCTTTAGAAGATATGGTAACATTAGCATATTTTGGTACTCTCTTCGAGAACAAGCGAGCGGAGGAGTACCGAACAAACATGTGGGTGAAAAAATGTGAAAGGGAGGCTTGTGGTACACACACGAAGTTTGATCTAAGTTCGATTTCCAAGTTTTGGAGTAGTCTTATTACTCCGACAGAATCTTCCTCTTCACATAAGGATGCTTTAGATTCTTGTCTTAATCGTGCCAAGCAATTTGCTTCCGGTAAGATTCTTACAATCCTTTTCTTTTATTAATTAAATTTCTTGTTTTGTTAACTAAGAAATTATTTTGACTAGATGCCATAATGAAGAAACGATTAAATGACGTAACGTCATCTCTGTATATGCGGCAAAAGCCCTTTTTCTTTAATGTATCTATATATTTGTTCAATTAGTTTATATATCTGTTCAATTAGACTATATATTTGTTCAATTACTAATCAATTTTCTATTTTTGAAGTCGTTTTCTCTTTCAGATTGCAAGAAATCCATGACTATTGTTATGTGGGATTGGGAAAACTGCAACGTTCCAGCCTATTGCGACCCGGAAGAACTTCTTGGAAATATCAAAACCGCGCTGTGTAACTTAGGATACACGGGGGATATCGTTATGCGGGGATACGGCGATGACAAGGTTTTGAAGGATGGTTATTTCGACAAACTTGCTCTTAGCGGTATCAGAATGACTCACGTACCTCCGGGGAAAGATGCGAGTGACAAGCGCCTCCTAAATTCCATCTACTTTTGGGGGTTTGACAATCCAGCCCCTTGTAACATACTTTTTATTACCTCGGATGGCAATTTCGCGACGGCCACTATCCAATTCAAGGCAGCTGGTTATAATACTATGATTGCTCATCTGAACAAGAGGCAGACTAGATCCAAAAACTCACACCATCTAGGAAGATGATACAGGAGTCATCGACGGCATGGATTTGGGCCATTTGGCGTCTGCTAGCTTTTGGACGACGTCCATACAAGTGGGCTAAGTAGCTCTATACTTAATACTTCGGAAAAATAAATATAAAAAATGTCTGTTTTAGTATTTATCTCTAAAGTATTGTCGAATTGTTTGGTTAAATTTATCTAAGTAATGGTGGTATATAAAAATATTTGATAGAAGATATATAAACTGCTCTTTTATTAGTTAGTTTTTTTTTTTTTTTTTTGTAGAATCCAAATTTTAGTTACTTAAACTTGGAAAAAAATTGCTTGCGGGCCAATGCACTAAGAAGAAAATCAATAAACAAGGGGTTTTGGTGGGAAAGTCTCGATTTCATCACAAACAAGGGTGTTTATGTGAACAAACCTATACTTCAATATATCGAACATTTTCGTCTTCCTAATACTGCAAAATTAGAGACAATCAATCAAATTCAAAGCCATATTGTTGTTGTTAACAAAAGAGCAGAGAGAGTATATATGATGAACTTTTATGTATAAAAAAAGGTAACTATCCCTAATTTATGATTCATCTCATCCCGATAATATCAGATCAAGTCAAAAATTCATGGGCCATAACTAACAAAAGAAAGATGATGAGAAAGAAGAAGTAAAAACCAAGCTCTCTCATTTAAATGAATAGGACCCTAAAAACAATAAAAGCTCCTCTTTCTTATTTTCTCAGAAGAAAGAAACCATTTTATGAACCCTTTGTGTCAATGTAAGACAATAAGAATCAAGATAAATTTTGGAAACTGTGTGTATCCATAATTGACAGGTTTCTTGTGTTCTGATATTCAGTCTCCAGCCCAGTGATTTCCGACTAGACACCCTTGAGTGTTTCCATAATTCTTGTGTTTGGTATTTGACAATTTCTTATTTCTTTGGATCAAACGGATCAAAAACAAGGTAAAGGTTGTCCCTTTGTTATAATCGTTATATAATTGGGCTTATAAAAGGCCCATATAAGGTTATAGTATTTGTTTTTTTTCCAACTAAAATTCATTCCGGAAGTTATATTGTTGAAGTCCTACATGACTACATAACGTAAATGTCAAAGTAGCTCCCATTTTCTAAAAAGCCTTTTCTCAAACCCGAACTAAAAATCGAATTTCCAATAATATTATTTATCCAAATTTTATATCATCGGACAAAAAAAAAATCATTAAAAATTATCAAAAAAGAAGGGAATAAAAATACTTTCATCTTTTTTTTTTTACAGAATACGAGAAACCCTAATAGGCAAACCGTTAGGAAAATCAACAAAAGGAAAAGCAAATGGTTTATCATCTTCTGCTAATTCCCAATTGAATTTAAGAACAAGATGATGAATAAACACTGCCATTTCTAACTTGGCTAGCTCTGAACCAGCACATAGCCTTGGCCCTCCTCCAAACGGCATGTAGTTGTTTCCCCACGTCGAAAAACTACCACTTCCTGACGATGACGTCCCGTTGTTTTGCTGCTCGTTATAAAAAAAAACGACAAACAGTTTTAAAATCACAACCAAAAATAAGTTGGAAGAAAAAAGGAAGAAGAACACGTGCTTGTTGGCACCACACCACGTGGGTCATTAATCATCTCTCACCACCTCTTACCTTCCCCACTCACTTATAACATCATGACTACCATTATTATCTTATTTCTTTAAGTATTATCTCATTCATAATAATCATAATACTATAGTATCTTTTTCTAATTCGCCGATTTGATAGTTGATTAATAATACTATTAGAGTTTTTAATCTAAGTATTAGGACCGGTCAACGTGTCAGAATCTAACACACGTACAAGTGATCGGGCGTGTGAGATCCGTCAAAGCCGTGGTACCATCGTCCGTCAAATCTTAAATTTTATCAAAGCCGTGACTAATAATAAATCAACGGTCACGATTATAAGAATTTTTAGGCAGCTCCTACGTCATTAAAGACATACCATCCTACTAATTAATTGTCTTCACAATCACGTACACTTACACCAACACGTCTCTTTCTCTCTCTTATTTTATTTATTTATATGCTTTCATGTGATCAATGATCGATGACGTGTTAAGATCTAACTTCAAAGATAATAGTAATAAAAAAGTTTTTGCCAGATTAATAGTTCTCGTATAGTATCTATAGATAGGTAAATCACGTACGACGTATTAATTCATGCAATAATAGATGAAACTATACACTAATTTTCGTAGTTAACGAGAGAAATTTGTATTTACCTGTTGCCATCTCCAAGGATTAAAGAGATTAGGTTGGTCGTAACGAGAATTATCCAAATGTACGGCTGAGATCACCGGTAACACTTTCCACCCACTAGGGATATCGTATCCTTTTTTTCCAACATTAAGAAATGTAAAATTATTTTAATATTTTTCATCCAATAAGATTTCGATATTTCGGATTTCATTATTTAAATTTTGTACGTAAAGTTTACCTTTGTACCGAACGTCTTTGAGTGCTTTGCGATGCAAAAACCTAACTACATTTCCCAATCGAAGAGTTTCATTTATAACCTTCATACCAAGAAAAAATATATCAATAATTTTGTTTTTTTTTCCATCATAAATCATATAAACATAAAATAAATAATGAGAATAACATACACATTGAGTAAAGTCCATTTTCTTGTAATCATCCCAATTTAATTCTGACTCTCCTAGTTCCTTCTTGGCTCTCGCGATCTCAAGATGCTCTTCCTTCAAAAGTTTAAATCAATAAACATAAAATTAGTGACAATTAAAATATACATACTTTTTCATCGTATATAATATAATAACTTACATAATACGTAACAATTTGGTAGTAATTAACTTGTGCTGTTAAAATCATCTTACCCTAAGCTCTTCAACGGCTTTAGGGCAAGCTTGCAAGAAGAAGATAGCAAGAGCAATGGCGACAGAAGAAGTCTCATGTCCGGCGAATAACAAACTAAGAATGAGATCGAGAATTTGCTCTGTCGATAAATTCGAATGTTTCAAAACCCATCCCAAAAGATCATCGTCTGTTCTTTGTTTCCTCACATGATCACTCTTACTCATCTCTTCTTCATCCTCTGTTTTCACTTCTTCTTCTTGATCTTCTTCCTTAATATCTAATTTTCTTTCCTCCATTTTCCTCTCAATGAACTTCAATATCGTTGCTCGTGACTACACAACCATTTTAGATATTTTATTTAAAACATAAAATAAAATATAAACCTATAGTGAAAGTTTGTGCCTTTACAGCAAAAAAAAACAAAAGTTACAAATTTTAGAGGTTTAAATTAAATGTACCTGAAGGGCTTTATGATAAGCAGTTCCTGGTAGATTGAGAGGAGCAGAGACAACACCTTTCATGAAAGTTACATACTCTTTCTTTAATTGCTCTGTTTCTTCTTCTCCAGGATCCATACTCATTATATGTTTCGCCATTAGATTAAACGTAAACTGCTCAATAAAAAAACAAAACTTAGATTCAAGACTTTCAAAAACAAAAACCCAATTCAACAAAAGAAGAAAAAGAAAACCTTTTTGGCCTCATCTTGAGCAGAGAAAACAGAGTGTTGTTTCCAAGAATCAAGAACAAACAAAGTATGTCTCTCAACATCTTTAAGTAGAATAGTTCTAAGACGAGCGTGACTTAAAAAGTTAAGCGAGATACTTCTCATATCTCTATGCATGTCTCCAACAAGAACAAGCATCGACCATTTCCCAAGAATCCCACCAATACTTCGAGGATAACTACATTCAAAGAGCCTCCCTTCGTTTTGTAATATGAATCTATTAAGTCCAGCATCAGCTGATACAATCGTTGGTTCTCCAAACAAATTCGATCTATATATCTTCCCATACCTGTAAAAAAAAAAAAACATTAGTAAAATTTCAAAAACAGAGGATTTTTTTTTGTGTGGAGGATGTTATTTTTACTTGGAGACATGTTGTTGCATGAAGTCACCGAGAGTAGTGGCGGTGTACGGTTTAAGATAACCGATGGTTTCACCAAGAAATGGCCAACCGGATTTACCCGGAGGGAGATTGAATCTGGTTCTTCTACTTCTTCGTTTCAAGAGAATCAAGAAGAGAAGAAGAGACAAAAGCGATGGGAGAAGAAGAAGAGGCAAGAGAGTATGATGCTCTGTTTCGAACATGGAGCTAGTTTCTCTCTCTCTCTCTTTATCTCTCTCTAATGGCTTTGCCTTTAAGATTGGGAATCGGACTTCTACTGAAAAAGGGAGCTTCTGTTTGTAAGAGGGGGTTTTAAAGAAGTCAGAAAATATCATTAAATTTTAATAAATCTTCTAATTAAGCTTAAACCTAACCAATGAGCTTCATGGCTTTTGTTTTTTCCGTATTCATTACTTTTGTTGCCTCGTTATGCTCCTTTTAATACTTTTATTTATTATACTCTTAAGTTGCAGAAAGCTGCGATGCGGAAATAGTTTAACAGCTATTATGGATATAACTATAATTAATTGTCTAATCGTATAACTTTCATTCACCGTGGTAGAAAAAAAAAATGTCATTAGAAGATAAACGTAATATACATAATTAATACTAAATCGTTTAATCGTACGAATCTATCATAAAGTGTTTATGAATTATCTGATCATCAAGTGTGAGTTTTTTTTATTAATAAACCCATTCGTGCTAATAATTTTTGTTTAATAGAATAAAAACAGTTTTGATAAATGCTTCAGCAGAATCCCAGGAAGTCCGGTACGGTCTCCATCGGTTTAAACTGGGATTTCCATAAATACCCTTAGGATTTGGGAAAAGGGTGGGCTCACGAGTAGGGGTAGAACAGTGAAATTGTCAGAAGGACCCCTACACGAGCGTGCGGTCAAAGACAGAGTTATTAGATTATTACCGAACTGGACAGTCAAACCCGTAGACTTTTGGCATTGTCTTTTTTTGCCTCTCAATAGTCACAAAAGCATTTACTCTATTTTTAAAAAAAAGTTTAAAGATTTTAATTCCCTTTTTATTGTTGTCCCAATTCTGAATCGCACCATGCATTATTAAATACACCTACTAGATAACATATTTTGAGCGGGTATAGGCTATCTAATTTTTTAATTTTCTTAATATATATACTACTTCCATTCCTATAAAAAAATTTCTAAAGGTTTTTTCTTGTCCCATTCAATTATTTTTGTAAGTTTTGTATGCATTTTAATGATTAAATATTAATAATTTGTATATTTCAAGAAATAGAAATGGAAAATATTTGAATTTATGAACTATTATACGTTCATAGTGTATTTATAAGTAAATATAAAAAAATTCTTAATTAATGTGAAATTGTAATTCAGTTTTTACCTTCAAAATTTTAGGTTTATCAGTTATATCACAAGATCAATTGTAATTAATAAAGAGTATAGTCGAAGTATAAAATCAATTAAGTACATTTTCTTTAGAGTATTGATTATGATAAACTCTGTAAATGTTTTGAGAAAACAAATAGAGTGTTAACTATTAAGTATCAAATAAGTGATTAAGTGTTAATAGTTAATAGGTAAAAACTCTCAAACAAAATCTAGAGATTGTCGATTCGAGTGGTACTTGGGAAGGGCCATATAAAATCTTATGGTCTCTAGTTTTAGGAGATATCTTAGTTATTCAAAAAAATGTATATCAAATAAGTGTAAACATAAGTCAATTAAATAAAATCCAATTTTTTGTAAATATTTTTGAAAACAGTTAAAAATTAGTATCAGTTTTTTTGTTTAAGTTCACAAAATCATTTGGATTTTAATAAAAAAATAAAAAAATAACTTTGGCTTATACGTGTAATATTATGTGGAGAAGTATAGTTAAGAGAAAATTAATGTTGAGCTAGTGGAGATTATCTGATTATGCATATATTTAGTTTGGTTTTATGTGCGGATATGTGTAAATATTTTTAAAATAAGTGTTTTATTTGTTGGATCAATTTTAAGAAAACAAACATTTTAAATTCAGTTTCATGGTTAAAAAAAATAATTATTTATAGCAGTTTTTCTCTATTTTTTTTTCCTTACATAAAAATGTAATACTCAGCTATATTTTCTATTAATAATAGCATTGAATTCCTAAATTTATTATTTGCAGAAAAAATTGACTACCACAGTAGTAGAGGCTGTCATTATGGCAACAAGAACTGAAGAACATACAGTAATTTAATAGTAGTACATCATGTAATATATACTAATAAACAGATTAATTTATGAGAAAAAGGGTTATATACTTATATTATAAAATTTTAAAAAATCATTAGGCTTGGAACGTAACTTAATCCTTCATGGCATTGAGAATATAAGACCAAGCTTTATCTTCCTCGAAAATTATATATGATACGTTGGAAAAAAAAAAAAGACTAGATTTAAACATCCAAAAATGTATTTTTGAATAAAATATGGTACTGTAATTTTTTTTTTGTGTGTTAAAGGTTTAACTGTTTACAAGTTCGCTCTTATTAAATTCCAACTAACAATAAATATGTTAAAGATGCATTAAAGAAAGCAATTTAATAGTTGCAGATGGTTACACGCTTGTAGAGGTCTTCGAAACTGTAACCCAAAAGATCTATGCATTTTAGATCATTGAATGGAATCCAAGAAAAATTAACAAACGACAAAAAAAATCGTTTTCTTTTTTTCGTTTTTGTTTTTATTGTTGACCAACCAAGAATGATATTTGCAGTGATCGTAACATACGGTCCCATAGTTATTACCACGCGTGTGAATTTCATTTTTCGACATCACATAACTATTCTATAGTCTCTAGTATAGCATACGTGAAAGGTATAGCATACCCATATATGGATATGTTTACTTCTCTTAAGTTTGTTTTTTTCTGTTAGGAATTATGTATTTGTTGACCTCTCTTGATTTAACATAAGCTATATTCAGTTTGTAACTTTGTATCTGTAGATTGACCTAGTCCAGAAGGCAGAAGTGACACTTTAATATCGTATTTAAGGTTCGAATCCAACGTCCTCTATATCAATATTTGAACAGAAGCTTATTCAAAATGGTCTCAAACAATTTTTTTGTTAAGAGGAACGAAACAAAAAGAAAGAAAAAATATGCTTTAAACAGAATATTATGAAATACCTGGAACATAATATTGAGATCAGCTAACGAATAAAATATTTTTGACAATCGTTATCGCAAATTTTAACGAATATCCAGAAAATCCAAATAGGGTCGATATTGATTGTGAGAGAAAGCTGGCAGGGACCATTATTCCACAACCTTTTGGTTGTCATCTCTTATTCTCTTTGATAATTATTCACATACTCCATGGGTCACTACTCTTTCCCTTTTCTTATTTTCGTTTTTTCTCAATACTCTTGTTAATAATTTGCTTCTTTCTTTTAATTTGCTGGATTAGCACAAGAATCATAATCATGATTGGACTGATCGATAAACGGATATTCACACTGGTATATATAATTTAATAATCAAGAGATTTGAAATCGAAACTTTTAATCGGTAAGAAAATCTTCATAATAATCAAAGAAATGATGCATGTAACTATGATCAAGTAAAACCTAATCCAGAACACAAAACTATATTGAAATTTGTTTTGTTTGGGTCATATCGAAATATGTTTGCACTTCAATCAATAGAGTATTAAAAGAAATTTATTATTAATATTTTTGATATATACTATAACAAACCAAAAACAAAAACAAAACCTTAAACGAAACTGAATTGGACCAAATTCAATGTAATCTAACCAAATTGAACCAAATTTTTTTTATTAAAAATCCCAACTCCATATTTTCACAACCAAAAATAAATATTTGGTTGTAACAATATAATTTAAAGATAACTAATTATTTTTAAATATTTTTAATGAAGTTTTATTATTTTTATTATTTTGTAATCCAACTTGAGAACCAAACTCAAATTATGCATGTGAACTGAATAACCAGAAAAGGGAAATTGTAGCTCAAACCGAACCCAACAATATGATACCCACATCTACGTCCCGCCTAAGTCAATCTCGCACGATCAAAACTTTTGTTGCGTTAAACCAAGTTTTTTTTTTACCGGTTTCGAATTTTTACCACTAATTTTTTTTCCATGTTACATAACTACATGTGTTGTAATTCATGCGTACGTGTTAATATCGCATGTGATATATACGTATGTATATATAGGTATGCATGGATCATGCTGCGTTGACTTCATCATTTCAAGCCGTATTGACTTGTAACCTTTTTTTCTGTCGGCGACTTGTAACTTAATTGAGAACCATTGTAAAATAAAAATTTGAGCAAAATTAAGGAATATTAAAGCGACGTTGTTTTATATTTGCCACTACCTTCCACTATTTATCATATACGGGAATGTGTAAACTATATGTATATATATATATATATTCATAACAGTCGAATAATATTATTTATTTATTTATAACATCCATTATATATGTTGAATTTAAATTTATGTGGTGACACACCAATAAGCTACAAAACCGATCGATAGGATAATATTTGTATGTATAGAATTTAATCATCATGAAATGAATTTGAGTGTTACCAAATATTAAAAATCTTTTTTTTTTGGGTCGACTTATTGGAAATCGATATAATTAAAATTATTTGGAAATATATAGAAGAGAATGATAATGGGGAATACTTTGGGCACGTCCATGTGTTCGCATTATTGCAGTTCACGTGCAGTTGCTCGTCCACCAGCTTTCTCCCAATTTCACATGCCTTTTTCTCGTTATTATTTTTGTTCTTGTACAAATAAGAAAACAATACTATACTAATAATTTTATTTAAATTCCGTTTTTCTTTACAAGGATTTATATGCAACCAACTGTATTAGTTTTACAACTTTCTTCTTCACATGTGCTAATTACCAAAACGAAAAACATGTGTTAGTATACAAAACAAAAACAAAAAAAGCACTAGGTCAAATTTTTTTTCTAACATTGGTAATTCGTTTATAAATAAGATGGTTAAAAGTTAGTTCCAATTAAACTTAATATGTTGTAATTTTGAAATTTTCAACTTGTTTTGTTTGTTGAATATCTATTGTGTTAAAATATTTATATCTTGACTTTTTTTTTTTGTCGTTTTGTTGACTAAAAAAATTTAAGATCTGATTGGAAAATCATGCTAAAGTACTGTCTATAGAGTATTTTTGTTTTTAACCTTTCTCAAGTAGATGAAACAAGAGTAAACAAAAATAATTATTAAAATAATTT